AAGCAAATCCAAACCCTAGCAAGGCAAGTTTCATGAGTTCTTAAGGCTTGAGAATAATCCTGTTTTCCTCGATGCTGACTTCCAACCCCAATGGAGTGGCAGTCGGTCCTTCCAAACTCACTGGAGTAAAGTTCCCATTTTCTTGATCCTCTAAGGTGGCAGTGACCCCCAGCCCTCACAGACCAGCAGGACATGGCAAATACTGTGGTTCTCGGAGTGGCACCATCAATGCCATGGTTCTCTGTTGGGACAGGTGTTATGCCTCCAGGGCTCTACTGAATGACTCCACCTTCCCAGCTCTGCTGTGTATTGATCTCATCCACTCAAATAATGGGAACTGCAGCCCTGCCTCCCATGGCTGTGTACTCTGGGTCTATGGTAGGAGTGGCAGCTCTGGGGATATCTATATCATCTTTGTGGCCTTTCTTTCCTTGTCTTGAAGACTAGTGTGTATTTATAGTACAATAGTACTCTAGTCCAGTCTGGTCCTGTAGAATCTAAGAAATCTGATAGTTTTTCCTCATTCAGTTCCAGTTTCTCCTTTTTTCCTTTAGTTCCAGCTGGCAGTGTTTCTAGTAGCATAATCACATCTCTATTCCTAGCTTTTGTTGACATGTTAATCATGGCAAGGGCTGGGCCAGACCCAAACCAGTAACCATGAGCTTCCTCTGGGTGTCCCATACCAGTGGGAAGGGCCCAAGGACTTGGGTCATCTTCCACTGCTTTCCCAAGCATATTAGCAGGAAGCTGGATTGGAATTGGAGCAGCTGGGAATTGAAGTAGTGCCCATATGGGATGTTGGTGCTCCAGGTGGAAGCTTAACCTACTATGCCACTGTGCTAGCCCCCACACTATGCATTTTTCACATATTATGAAAAAAAACTTATAGCAGAATAAACTCATACTTTAAATTTTGTTTTTCTATGAAATTTTTGAAGTACCCTCTTATTGACAGAGAATTTTTAAAATCATCACATTTTAGTTCCTTTTTACTTAACAAGTCCATCCTCAATTCGTTAATGTCCTCTCACATCTTAACTTTTAGTAACATACTTTATTAACTAAATAAATGCATAATTTCAAGTGTCATCAAAATAAAAATGTTTAATGATCTATTTTAGTTGTTTTATTTAAAAAGAATTGTTAATATTATTCTTGATTGACAAATCACAATTGTATACATTTATGTTAATACTTTGTTTTTATTTGAAAAGCAAAATGACAGAGAGAAGGGGAGAGACAGAGACAGCTTTTTTTTTTTGAGAGAGAGAAAGATATCTTCCAACTACTGGTTCATTCTCCAAGTGGCCACAATGGCCAGGCTTGGCCCAGTCCAAAAACAAGAGCCAGGAGCTTCTTCCAAGTCTCCCACATGAGTGCAGGGGCCCAAGCACTTGGGGCATCTTCTACCCCTTTCCCAATCCATAGCAGAGAGCTAGATGAGAAGTAGAACAGCTGGTACTCAAACTGGCATCCATACTGGATGCTGGCACTTTAGGTGGTGGCTTTACACACTACACACCATACATCTGTCTCCTGGATTCGGATCAGTGCAGCTCTGGCTAAAACTTTCAGGACTATATTGAATAACAATGGTGAGAGTAGTCTTCCTTGTCTGGTTCTGGATCTCAATGGGAATGTTTCCATCTTTTCCCCATTCAATAGGACACTGGCCATGGGTTTGTCATAAATTGCCTTGATGGTGTTGAGGAATGTTCCTTCTATACCCAATTTGCTTAGAGTTTTCATCATGAAAGGGTGTTGTATTTTATCAAATGCTTTCTCTGCATCTATTGAGATAATCATATGATTTTTTGTTCTTCAGTTTGTTAATGTGATGTATCGCATTGATTTGCAAACGTTGAACCATCCCTGGGATAAATCCCACTTGGTCTGTGTGAATGATCTTTCTGATGTGTTGTTGGATTTGATTGGCTAGAATTTTGTTGAGGATTTTTATATTTATGTTCATCAAGGAAATTGGTCTGTAGTTCTCTTTCTCTGTTGTCTTTTTCAGGCTTAGAAATTAAGGTGATGTTGACTTTGAAGAAAGAATTTGGGAGGATTCCCTCCCTTTCAATTGTTTTGAATAGCTTGAGAAGAATTGGAGTTAGTTCCACTTTAAATGTCTGGCAGAATTCAGCAGTAAAGCCATCTTGTCCTGGACTTTTCTTTGTTGGGAGGGTCTTTATTACGGATTCAATTTTTGTCTTGGCTATGGGTGTGTTTAGGTTTTCTCTGTCTTCATGGATCAATTTAGGTAGGTTGTATGTGTCCAGGAATCTATCCATTTCTTCTATGTTTCCGAGTTTGTTGGCATACAGCTCTTTGTAGTGGTTTCTGATCATTATATTTATTTATGTTGTGTCTGTTGTTTCATTCCCTTTTTCACCTCTAAGCTTATTAATTTGTGTCTTCTCTCTTCTTTTTTTGGTTAGTTGGGTCAATGGTGCATCAATTTTGTTTACTTTTTCAAAAAAACAGCTTTTCATTTTGCTGATCTTTTGCATTGTGTTTTTGTTTCAATTTTGTTGGTTTCTTCTCTAATTTTAATTATTTCTTTTCTCTTACTAGTTTTGGACCAGGTTGAAGCCAGGAGCTTCTTCTGGGTCTCCCATTTGGATGGCAGGGGCCCAAACACTTGGGCCATCTTCTGCCGCTTTTCTCAGATCATTATCAGGGAGCTGGATGGGAAGTAGAGTAGACGGGACTTGAACACTTACCCATATGGGATGCCAGTGTTGCAGGAGGCACTTAACTTCCTACACCACAATGCCAGCCCCTGATCTGAGGAAAACCTAACAGGAGCACAGGAACTTTGTTGGATCTCTGTTCTGTCACTATGGTTGATCACAGAGAGGTGTTTTCTCTATGGATAATAGCTGACCTGAAATTGCTTTTTAGGCTGGGGAAACTAATTGCAAACACCAGAACTTAGTTTTATCACGCTACATTGCTAGGGTTGGGCAGGCCCAGGTGCTCACCCTGTGGATTAACTGCTAATCCACAGTTGTCTCTTGGCCTACAGACATCTTAAAGAGTACTTGGTTGTCTAGGGGAAACTGGCTAGGAATTTAAGCATGGAAGGTTTGTGGAGATGTTTCCTGTAGTGCGATGCTATTGCTAGTTTCTCTGGTGTGGTGTCCCCACTGGCCGCAGTGATCATGATCCACATCCTAATTACTGTGAGCTCCACCCTCATTCTTTGTTTCTGATTCCAGGTAGTCTAGCCCTGCCAGTGTGTTCAGTGTTTCCCATGGGACAAGGCAGGAGTAAGCTTCTGAAGAAGACCAGAATGATTGGGAAACTGGCTGTCTGTCTCCAACTCACATTTCCCACTGTAGAAACTTCGATTCTAGGGGAATTCTTCTTAAGTGGTGCTCTGATGGTTTGGACGAAGGAAGCACAGTGTGATCAAAGAAAAGCCTTCCTCTTGCCATTTGATCTTGGGTTTTCTCTTTTCTCAATTCTGTGGCCCAAAGGAGTGTTTCACCCTCAATTCCAAGTTTTGAAACAATCATAATGGTATTCTTTTCTGTAGATAACTCTTAGATGAATTTCTGTTGGAGGAGCCATGAATCCAGAGAACTCCTATTCCTCCATCTTTCTTATATCACAACTCTTCCCATATTTTACTATAAGCAGTCAAGAGGATCCAAATGTCTTCAGCTAAATATCCATTACTATCACACCCAAGTTCTACCTACCACAAAACACTAGAACACAAACACAATTAAACCAAGATATTTGCCACTTGAAAACAAAAGATCACCTTTTCTCCATTGTCCAATAACACGGTCCTCTATCCTGTTTGAAATCTCAATAGAATGGCATTTTCTGTCCATATTTCCACCAAGATTGTGTTTGTGATTACTTATGTACTCTCAAAGAAAATAGCAATTTTTCTCTACAGCTCTTCTTTCCCCAGAATTGGCTTTAAAATTCCATTCATGTCAATCTAGAAGTTTTGTACCATGTATCTGGAGGGTCTTCCAGCATTTGCCCATTATCTAGCATTATCTAATCCCAAAGATGTTTCCACAGTTTTAGGCATTTTTTTCAGCAGTACTCTCACACATTGGTACCAATAGAAATTAGAGAGCTGCCACCAAAGTCCTATGAAACGTGCAACCCAGAAAGAACTTGAGGGTTCTCAGTGTCCATTCCTCCCTTCTCCTTTGAACCCCCAAACTCAAAGCCAATATAACCTATGCCTTCCTCACAGTCATAAAAAGTCAGGCTGTGACATAAAAATGCAGCATCTGCAGGAAGATTAAGAATAAATGTCAAATTCAATATCATGAAAGATAACAGACAGAATGTCACTCCATGAGGACAGGGACTTTGTCTTGCTCATTGCTATATCCCAAATGCCTTGACATGTGCCAAGTATATTGTAGTTGTTTGGTAAATCTCTGTTTAATGAATTATTGAATGCATTAAATTGATTAACCAGGAAACTACCATAGGCAGAATGTGGTATTCAGAAAAGAATATCTGAGCAAGAAGCCTGAGATACAACTGTTGTCTGGGGAAACCAATGCTCTGCTCACCTGGCATCAGGAGTGCTAGGAAGGGTAGTATATATCTCCAGGAGGTAGTCAAAGCCCGATAAGTATTCCTTAGTTTAATGTTGGAGCCCTGCCTCATCCCTTTTTTCCCTGGCCAGAGAATGTGTATAACACTAAATTTCCAATTGTTTAATACTTGAACAGTATCGAAGCCAAGACTAACACAACATATTTTGCTTGGATTAAACCAAGACAATAGTTGACCAAGAAGTATAAAGGGCATTGTTCCTGCCTTCAGCTCCAATTTCAAAATCATTCTCTCTATTTTTTTTCCTTACTAAAACCATTGGAAAAAATACAAATATAAGCTCCAACTAACAGCCTTCCACTTCACACACTGTTTTAGACTTGGCAGAAGATTTTATGGCCTTTCCTAATCTGTCTCTGTGATTAACCCTCCATTTTTTACTTTCCTTTGATTTATTTCAGATACCTGTAGCAGAAAACAACCCTTTCCTTGTTGGAATGCACTATTGGTATTCCAGCTACAGTTCCAGGACACAGCATTGCAATATTTGCCGAGAGAGCATTCCTGCCTTATCTCGAGATGCCATTATCTGTGAAGGTAACTTTCTGATTCCTTGTGGCTCAGTGTGTGGAAATGGGGGGGGGAGAGTAGAGGGGTAGTAAAGAGAGCTCATTTGTCTTTAGCATCATTGATCCCTTCTAGGTCACTGACTCTGGTGTGGGATTAACCCTATTTGAGGACAAGAGAAGAGAGGAAACTAGCATGAGGGAGCATTCTCATGAATTAAAATGGTGGGTTAGATATGAGGGAATGGGCCTATATATATATATATATGTACATATACATATCATAGAAAATGTCATTCTTACCATCAATATCCATTTAAATCAGACAGTAGAAAGTTTAGCTGTTAATTAACAAGAAGAAGCTGTATCATATTGGAAATAAGGCTTGGAGGTGGATCCAAACTATGTAAAATGCACCTAGGTTCTCACCGTGCAGCTTAGGGAAGGGAATTAAAATCTTCATTAGAGCCATATTCACACCCATTCTTTTCTCTTCCTCTTCTCACAGTGTGCAAAGTGACATCTCACAGATTATGTGCTTTGAGAGCAAGCAAAGACTGCAAATGGAACACCTTATCCGTCACTGACGACCTTCTTCTGCCTGTAGATGAGGTGGTAAGTAACCAACCATGCCCTCCCATGGTCATCCTGTCCCATGTCCCCTTCAGCCAAGACCTACAGGAAAAGAATACTTCTTCCTATCTCCAGACAGGCAAAAGAGGCCTCTCTCTCAGATTCACAATCCAAGAAATCTCAAAGAAAGTAAGCCCCCACTCCCACGTATCATTGACCACTAGCATAGGAACAGGAGGACAGGGCCATGCAGAACTTAGGGCTTTGACCTGATTGTCCTCCATGGGGTGATACAATTATTCCAACTGGCCCTTCCTTTCCTTTATCTCTAACTTCTACTTTTTGGTTCTTTTTAACTTTCAGCAGACCATGCCTCATCAATGGGTAGAAGGAAACATGCCTCTCAGCTCTGAATGCGCAGTATGTCATGAGAGCTGTGGCAGTTACCAACGACTTCAAGACTTCCGCTGTCTCTGGTGCAATTCTACGGTAAGACTCACCTCATCTCCTTGATACTTAGAGAACTCGGTTTCTAGAGAAAGGGTGTGTTAAAGTCTGATAGAAACCTCAGAGACCCAAAGCTCAGTATCCTGTTCATCCAGATCTGGCTATAGATTTTGGGAGAAATATTTAAGACTCATCTTTGATATTTCTTAAGCAGTAAGGTCTCCTAGAAAATATGAAAGGCTGAACTGTCTAATGGTAGTGTGGACAACTAAAAAAAGAAGTTCTAAGTCTACCCTTAACAAACTCTTTCCTTTCCTCATTCACTATGTCTTAGGAACTTGTAACCATTGTTGGTTGATAATGATGAGTGTTATTAACACATTATTATTGCCTCTATGCATTGAGTGTTTTATATGCATGGTATCACTTTCTCCTTACAACAACTCTAAACCAGGCTACAGTGTCCCCATTTTACAGATGAGAAAAGTGAGGTTCAGAATGGTGAAGTGATTTGCCCAAGGTTACAGCCTTACACAATTCAACAAAGATCATGCTCCTAACTATAACAATATCATGCCTCTAAACCAGTGGTCCTCAACCAGGGATATTTTGCCCCACCCAGGAGACACTTACCCATGTCTGGAGACACTTCTGATTATTACAACTCAGGGGCCAGTGTTAGTTGCGTTTAGTAGACAGAGGTCTAGATTCTCTTATAATGCACAGGACAGCCTCCCATCTAGCCCGAAATATCAATAATGCTGAGGTTAAGAGACTATGAGGGTAGAGGGGGAAGCGTCACTATGTTCTTAAATCTGTATATATGAAATACATGAAAATTGTATAACTTAACTAAAATTTAAAAAGAGACTCTGATCCAGACTTTATAACCCTTTAGATGCTTCTCTCAAACTGAGTTTTCTAGACAATAAGAAACTGAAGTTTGAACCTCTTCTTAGAAGACACTCCTTGTCCTTTGGATCTCTTCAAATTACATTTGAATAAACAGGCCAGACTCATGTCCTCTAAAACTCATGTAATTGTCCAGGACTGGTGCTTAAAGATGTCAGAAAGGTCACTTGTGGGGAAGGCAGTGGAATCATTGACCTTGGGCAAGATCTTTTACCTCTCTGAACTTTGGCATGCTTGTTTTTAAAATGGACCTAATGACATCTTCCATACTACACACAGTTGTGAGGATTGAAGTGTAATAAATTATTAATATTAGCATTCTTACATCGCACGTAAGTACTCCATTGTGTAGGTTATATGATTGTGCTCTAGGACTAGTGATTGCTCAGTGCCTGCATATGAGTATCTTCTGAAAGCCACTTCTGAAAGGACCAGAGTTCTGAGGCCACTCTCAGGGTCAGAGCAACCTCAGGATGGAGTGGAGTGGAGTGGGAGTGGCCAGATGAGGTAGGGGTATGGAACCACATCTCAGAAAGGAAAATTTGTATACTAGGTATCTAAATCTTGGACTTGGAGCTCAATACTGATCAATGTTATCCCTTTTCTCTCCCCCCTCCTTTTTTTTTTCTCTGCTCTGTTCTTATCGTTTCAGGTGCATGACAGCTGTCGGAGACGGTTTTCCAAGGAATGTTGCTGCGGAAGCCATCGATCATCGGTCATTCCGCCCACTGCTCTCAGCGACCCCAAAGGCAATGGTGAGTAGCCAAACCTTAACCCTAAAAACATATTGGATGGGAAGGGGTAGATACAAGGGATAGGGATAATGCCTGCAGAGTTTTAGATTCAGCAGATCTGGGTAGGGCTCAAGAAGTTGCCTTTCTAACACACCCCCAGATGCTGCTGCTGATGCTAGTAGTTCTGGGATCATACTCCATCATGTACTGTGTGATCCTAGACAAATTACTCAACCTCTCTCTAACTCATCTATCACTTGTTTTCTGCCAGTAGGGGTGAGAATTATACTCATATGTGTTATAAAGGTTTGAGTTAACGTTTGTAAAAGAGGATTTTAAAAGTGCAAGAAAGGGAAAAGTAAGGCAACTTTATACCGATTTAGTATACTTCTGTGGAGTGAAAAGAACAAATTTGAGAGGGGCTTCTGGCTCCTAGGTTTGGGGCACTGTGATTATATTAATGCAGCTCAAAGAAGCATGAGCTCTTTTTTTTTTTTTTTTTGAAAGGTTCTTTCAGGCTGTTAACTCATCTGGGGCTTAAAATCAACTAAATCCCCTAAGCCCTTTTCACACTTGATGCTGCCAAGCCAAGTCCCTATTGACCTGTTCCAGTGCAATTTATGTCCTCCAGCCGAAAGGCCAAGACTCACATTTATTCCCTGTACATTTCATCTGTGGACTCTCACCCATCAGTCTGTGGAAGGCATGTTCCAAACCTGATTCTATCATCCAGTCGTTTTTCCTTCAACTTTGAGTACTTCACAGTTGACAAGCCAGCCTTCTAGGCTTCCATGTGAGTTGTCGATAAAGATCGTGAAATAGCATAGGACATGCCTTCATCAGTAACACCAGCCTGTTCGAAAGCAAGCTCATTGGCAGTGTTGTTGACCTGGTTCGAATCTAACATTGCTGCATTCCAGCCCACAATGGCACCCAAGTCACCTGGTTCACAAGGTTCTCTTGACAACCCAGCCTTGCTCAAGTTCATATGTTCTCAGCCTCTGGGGGGGTGGGGAGCCAGAGGCTCCTGTATTCCCCTGGGATTGGCTTACTGCAAGCTCTGCTTCTTGTTTCCTTCACGTCTGTGGCCAAATGAGGCTTGACACTGAAGTTCAAGTTGCCTTAATTACAGAATTTTCTATTTATTGAGTAGTTTCTCACCCTTACTCGGGATTATTTTATGAATAATTGCAACATGCTATTATCATACATATGGAGAAATGAACACCTGCAGAAGATAAGATGCTTGCTCTAGGTTAGTGAATCAACTGGAGGGCAAGCAGCTGTAGCACACAGGTGCATTCTCTCATAGAAGCACAGGGCAGGAGGCAGCCCAGGCTCCAAGCTGCCAAATAGATGTAAAAAGGATTTCAGCTACACCCTCATGGCTATTTAACTTGTAGATAGCGTTAGCATAATTCTTTTTTTCCTGTTTCTTAAATGATTTTTTGACTAACATATTCAGATAGTTCCATTTAAAAACAAAAGAAATACATACACATACACTAAATAGTGAAAAGTCTTACTTATTGCCATCCTTTTTCAAATCTTCTCGGTCTCCTGCAGCCTCCCTGTTCCTACTAGCAGTTGACTACCATCATTAGTTCTCTGAATACCTTCTTGTTCTCCCCCCACGTTTTAAAAGATTTATTTATTTAGTTGAGAGGCAGGGTTATGGACAAAAAGAGGGAGAAGAAGAGAGAGGTCTTCCACCTGCTGGCTCACTCCCCAATTGGCCACAATGATGGGAGCTGTGCCGATCTGAAGCCAAGAGCCAGGAGCTTCTTCCGGGTCTCCCATGTGGGTGCAGGGGCCCAAGGACTTGGGCCATCCTCTACTGCCCTCCCAGGCCATAGTAGAGAGATGGATTGGAATTGGAGCAGCCGGGACTCAAACTGGCGCCCATGTGGGATGCCAGCACTGCATGCGGCAGCTTTACCTGCTACGCCACAGTGCCTCACCCCTCCCCCAACTTCAATACCACACACACTGTTCTGTATCTTCCTATTTTCTCTTTTACAGTGTCTTTTGGCGACCCTTCCCTATCAACAGACAATTTCTTTCTCATCTTTTTTTATTAGATTTATTTTTATTTATCTGAAAGGCAGAGTTACAGAAAGACAGGGAGACAAGGAGAAAAAGGTATCTTCCATCCACTGGTTCACTCTCCAAATGACTGCCATAGCCAGTGCTGAGCCAGGCCAAAGCCAGAAATCAAGAGCTTCAGTCCGGGTCTCCAACATGGGTGCAGGGTCTCAAGCACTTGGACCATCTTCCATTGCTTTACCAGGTACATTAGCAGTGAGCTAAATTGGGATCAGAGAAGCCAGAACTCAAATTGCCACTGCAATGAGGAATCTGGCATTGCAGGTAGCAGCTTAACCCACTGTGGCAGCTTAACCCATCATGCCACAATGCCAGCTGCATTCCCCACTCTTTTTGACAGCTACAGAATATCCCATTATCTAGAAATACCATAACTTATTTAACCAGCCCCCTACTGATGGTGAATTTGATAGTTCTCAATCTTTCACTATTATAAACAATACCGCAATGAACATCCTCAGGCAGGTTGTTTTACAGATATAGGAAAAATTCCCAGAAGTGGGATGACTAAGTAAAATGCATAAGCCTTTGCAATTTTCATAGTTTTGTTAAATTGCCCTCCCCAGGGCACATAGTACCTTAATATGTTAATAATGTTATTAACACACACAATGTTGCCTGTTATTAAAAAATTGTTGAGAGGACCATTACTTTTGGATAATGTATTCAGGGAAAGTAACTACTTCTGAGCTATGCTACTGAAGGGACACAGCAGGCTCCCCTTGTAGTTGTGCGTCCAAGACGCCCTGAAAATTTGCTGCATAACTCACTGGCAGGATGAGGATGCCTTCCATCCTTAGGGGCCAATGTGTTCAAATTGACCCGTAGAAGAAACTCCTTTAGATTTTTTTTTTTTGAGACAAAACAACCCTTACATCTGCTCAAACAGATTTCCTTCAGGTTACAACAAATGGGAATCTCAACCTCCCTCGCTCCACCCCCATTTAGGAGTAAGTCTTGTGCTTCTCACCCTACATGTTTATTTTTGCTAGGGCATTCATTGCAAGCCATGCACTCTGAGGTGCGGGGATTTGCTCCGAGGTCTAGTGTCTCTCTCTGTGGGGGCCATTGCACATTGCCTGTTTCCCTGCCAAAAGGCTATAAGTCTCAGCACGAGCTGGCAGGCTTTGGCTATTTAGAGTATTGTAAACCCCACTTCTCCACGGGTAATGTCAGTGTTGGGTGATTATTAAGAGCTTTCTCCTCCCATGCAGACAATTTCCCTATCATCCTGTTTTCCCTGGAAGTTGGTGTGATTACACAGATTGCTCTGCCATAGCCTTAGAGAAGTGATTAGAGCTCTTTGTTTCACCCCACATTGATACTTGGGGTGCCTATCCTTTCCATCTCTCCTGACCTGGCATCTTCTCACTGTGAGAACTGAGCTAACTCAAACAGAAAGACAATCAGTTGGTGTGCTGGCTCTCCTCCTGAGCTCTTAATCCCTTCCTTCCTCAGTTTCCCCTACAGAGTTTTACTAGTCCTTCATTTTGGTACCAATTTCCTGAGTTTCTTGTGTATGCGTCTTTCCACTCAGCTCAAGGCAGAGGCTGTACCCTTATCAATATCTGACATGATGCATAGCACACGGTAGTCACTCAGCAAACGTTGTTTGCCTGGCAAAAGGACAGAGACTTCTAAGTCACTTTGGGTGGTGTTCTGACTTTTCTATCTGCTCTTCAGTCTCAGGAGACTAGGACTGGGACCCCAGAAGTCCTTGTAAAATGTGATGATTTGAAATGATTAGCTTCCATCTCAATGGTCCTTTCCTCCTTTTTCCCTTCTTTTTGTTGCATGTGTATATCAGGACAATTAGTAGTATCTCCAGACTTCTGGAATCTTGATTGGTCATCTGCCTGTTCATGCCCTCTTCTCATCTTCATCAACTCCAAAAGCGGTGATCATCAAGGGATCGTTTTCCTCCGAAAATTCAAGCAATATCTAAACCCGTCTCAAGTATTTGATCTATCGAAGGGTGGACCTGAAGCAGGGTAAGTGGGGGTAAGGGATATAGTTGGGTATGTAGTAGGAACTCCTCTCTATATACAGTATAGACTAAGATAGAATTTCTGGCATTGGTGCTCGTACCTGGGTAGGAAATATCTGATTTGTCAGTGGGACACAAACACATAATCCTAATGGGTTTCAGTTGACTGATTGGAGAACTCTCCCCACTAATTGCTTCAAACCCATTATATATTAATAGTATAATATTATAATTAATAATACATAACATAATAACATATTATAAATATATAATTATATATAATAATTATATAATGATTATATATTTTCATATAAATATATATTAATAATTATATATAATCTTCACTACAGGCTTGTTTTGTTTGGCGACTGTATCTCTATTCAGTCCTGGTTCCTCTGAGCCCACTGGCCACCATGCAAGGCGTTGTCCTTAGGCTCTGGCAAATGGTTTTGATTAGGTTACTAGTGGCTTCCAGAACAAGTTTTGTCACTAAAGAGTGTGAGTTGAGGCAAGGCCTGCTCTCTGAGACTGTCTGTGGATAATTGCCTGTGGTCCTAGGTATGTGGAAGTGTAAGGAACTAAAGGGAAGAAGGCAGGTAGTCTGTCAGCAAGGTGCCAAAGCAGTCCTTGAGTCCAGGACATGTTGTAAGAAAACTGTAAAACCCAGTTGTTCATGAAGTAAGTTTCTTTCTCCTTCTTCCTTGCAGGCTGTGCATGTTCAAGAACTTTGCTCGCTTTCGTGTTCTGGTTTGTGGTGGAGATGGCAGCGTGAGCTGGGTCCTATCCTTGATGGATACCTTTGGGTTGCATGATAGGGTGAGTCCCTGGTCGCCCCAGTTTAGCCATTGCTAGAGACGGTAGAGGTCCAGAGTTGCCAATCCCAAGAAGTCCCAAGTCTCCCTGTTTGCAAAATATGAGTTTCCCATAGTCTGCACAGTCAACCTGACTGGTCAATTCCCACTTACACCATTTTCTTGTCCTCTATATGAAGGGAGGCAGAAAGGAGTTGGCAGAAGGAATGAGCAGTGCTTTATTCTCCAAGCTTTAAAGTGAAAAGTTAAAGAGGAGAGCAAGCCAAAAAGTGGCCACAGACAGCATTCAGGCCGCAATTTCCTCCTTCTGCTAACATTGTTGGTTTTATTTCCTGAATCTCAAAAGTGGCAGAAACTTGCCTCTTTCTGGGAAGTCCCTTGCTATTCCTCTTCTTCCTCCACCTTGACTCAAGCCACACAGAAATTTGTAGCCATGTTTCTCTTTTGTAAGCATGGCTGTGAATATTGGCATGTTTCGGTAACTTTCCCTTTACTGATATAAGTTCTGTACTGCTAAGAATAGGGCCCAACTTCTTAGGGAAACATTCCACCACTTCCAGCCTCCTCCCATCACACTTCCTAGAATGTGAAGTCCCTTAAAACCACTGGCTTTAAGACTAGAATGCTTCCCAAATAGCACCATCTGGGTTCTTGCGCGGATGAAACCTTGGTAGCAAGACTGTCTGAAATGGGTGCTTCCTTTTGTTCCTGCAGTGTCAGCTGGCTGTCATCCCACTTGGAACTGGTAATGATCTGGCACGTGTCCTTGGCTGGGGTGCATTCTGGAGCAAAAACGAGTCCCCTTTGGACATTCTCAACAGAGTGGAGCAGGCCAGTGTGAGGATACTAGACAGGTGAGTGGCCAAAGGACCAGGTCCTTGCGCCTCTTCCAGTCCCACATGGCTTGTTCCCAGTTACATCATGTCAAGCAGCAATACTCTAGCCTCTCTCAGAGGGCCTCATTTCCCTTCTGCCTCAAAAGTAGAGCAGTTGGAGAGTGCAGGGCTTGTCTCTTAGGGAACTAAGGTCTACCATTTATCCTTCAAACATCACTGAAGCATCTCTCAAAATCTAAAGGACCCTAGAGCAAGGGCCCCATGGATACCTTTCAAGGATTCTGTGGACCTCTTTCAAATTGTATGACCAAGTGTCTGTGTAAGCAGGGTTTCTTGGGAAAGAGTCTATAGTGTCATCACCGTAGTGTAACTATACTGCTATCAGCATCTCAGGTAAACTAAAGGGAGAGGGCCAGTTCAGAAATGACTGGCTTAGACTATCTCTGCTCTACAGAAGAGAGAGCAGTGCCATCCTATCTCCCGAGGGAAAAAAAATGAGTATCTGTGCTGGGGCATATATGAACATTTGATTGATGGCTGCCCATAAGGATCTCCTGGGGGAGCTTTTCAGGATATCACACTAAGCCCTACCAAAAATAATCTTAAATAATCTTATGCAGTAGGTCTTGGGCAGGATGCTGGTATGTGTGTTTTACCAAAGTACCTCAGATGATCTTGATGATGACTTGTGGTTGAGAAGCACTTTCTCTGAGAGCCCTGGGAGGAAAGTTCCTAAGGCAGAGACCCCTCTTGTGGTATACCTTGATATCAGGTGAGCTGAGATAGCTTGGGCACCCTCTACCACATAAACATCATGATCTCTTTCTTGGCCTGTGAAGCATGGATTTTTCACTTGTGAGGAAATGGAACCCTGAGTATCTATCTCTTTTCACTTCATTTCAGATGGAGTGTGATGATCCGTGAGACTCCCAGGCAAAGCCCGTTGCCAAAAGGACAGGTTGAAATGGACATCCCACAATTTGAGGTAAGTTCTACCCAGCTGTCACTCAGGCCAACATCTTTAGTATAGTTAAATAATAGACAAAGCCAAAAGAGAAGCTTTTCTATTTTCCACAGGCTTGGTGAGGATGAGATCATTGAGGACCAGGGGCATGTCAGTCAGCAACTGTTTACCAAGAACTATGTGAGGCAATGGGGACATAATTCATTCAGTCATTCACTGTTCATTCATTGAAAATATTTATGGAGTAACTGCTTCAAGTGAGCTCTTACTATTCTAGGAGCTGTTCTTTTATGCCAGTGGGTAACGAAGAATAACATATTCCCTGCTTATCATGGAGCTCATAATCTACTCAAGATATATAGAAAAATAAATATTTTTAAGAAAGTAGTATGAGTGTTAGTATAGAAAGTAGAAAGAGCTGGAAATACACAGCAGTAGTTTTATATCTGTCTGGGAGGGGGTGGGAATCAGGGAAAGCTTCTCAGAAGAAGTTGCATTTCAAAAGAGGCCTGAAGATCAGAGGGAGTTAACCAGGATGATAAAGAGAAAGTCTGTTTCAGATAGATAAAACAGTATGTGTTGTTCCAAAGGCAAAGGAAAGCATGGAATATTCACAGCACTGAAATACATTCATAATGGCTATGGCATCGGTGCCAGGTAGGAGCCATGCGGAGAGTGACTAAGATGAGGCTGGAGAAGAAATCAGGTGTCAAGCCAGGAAGGGTATAGTAAACTGGTAGGAGGTCTGGACGTTTATCCTAAAAGCCTTGAGAGTTAAAGAAGGGTCTTTTTGAATTCGATTATGAAGATTTCCAAACATACAAGAAAGCTGAAATGGCTATTCTACCATTAAACTTTTAGTATGCTTGCTTTATCATATATATATATATATCCACTGTTTTAAACAGTGGGGTTTTATAGTGCATGGAGAAACAATTGATAGAATAAAGATTAGAGGCAGGGAGAAAAGCTAATAAATGCTCACTGTATCCAGACAAGAGAGGGTGGTGATTTGAACTGGTGAAGAGGTTACAGGGGTGAGGGCAGCTGTCACATTTGAGACATTCAGAAGAAATAGATTTATCCAGACCTGGCAGATGTTTGGACATAGGGGAGTCATAGAAGGAGGAACAGAATTTGTAATGAAGAGTACAGACTCAAGAATCATATTACCTGGAATTGAATTCAGGCTCTGACACTTGAGAAATAGAAATGGATAATAAATAGTCCTTATAGAGTTGTTGTGAGGATTACATAAAAAATACTACACATATAGCTTAGAACAGAGCCTGGCAGATAGTCAGTACTATATAAGTGGATGCTATTATTAGTAGTAATATTATTTAATAGGTGACACTCTGGCATCAGAAAGATGTAAATTTGAATCCCAGTTCTCTTATTTATTAGCTCTGCAATATGAGACCGTTCGGTCATTGGAAACATGGGGCAAAAGTACCTCCCTTCGTATGAGTTTTGACCTTTCTTTTTATTTATTTATTTATTTATTTATTTATTTATTTTTTGACAGGCAGAGTGGACAGTGAGAGAGAGAGAGACAGAAAGGTCTTCCTTTGCCCTTGGTTCACCCTCCAATGGCCGCCGCGCTGTGGCCAGCGCACCACGCTGATCCGATGGCAGGAGCCAGGTACTTCTCCTGGTCTCCCATGGGGTGCAGGGCCCAAGTACTTGGGCCATCCTCCACTGCACTCCCGGGCCACAGCAGAGAGCTGGCCTGGAAGAGGGGCAACCGGGACAGAAGCCGGAGCCCCGATCAGGACTAGAACCCGGTGTGCCGGCGCCGCTAGGCGGAGGATTAGCCTAGTGAGCCGCGGCGCCGGCGATGAGTTTTAATCTCTTCATATGACTACTCATTTAAGTAAGAGGAGATTGAATATATCCTTTCTTTAAAGAATAGCCACAGACCTAAGATTATCTCAAACATTCTTTGACTAGGGAGTCTTCTACAAGAATCCTTTGTGATTATTTCCAGAGAGGCAGTTGAGTTGCTGGTCAAGTCAATAAGTAATGAGGCTGTTTGGGATGAGAATAGGCAACACATTATGTCACAGTGCAGTGATTCCAGGACTGAGTACCCTTCCCACCCTCTCAGGCTGCTGCCATCCAACACTTAGAATCTGCAAGCACCGAGTTGAACAAAATCCTGAAGGCCAAGTACCCCACAGAGATGATCATTGCAACCAGGTCAGTCTTTCTCTGGCTCTCATACTTTGTCCCTCATGGGTTATTCCAAAGTCAGATATGGGGCTGGTCTTGATAACTTGGGGTGTTTTGGCCAATGAAGGTATATGGGCATCATTTCAAATTGGGTTTTTCTGATCTCAAACTTCCTACATGGAAGTTTAGAAAAGAAAGATGAGATTGAAGTGAGGGCCCCTGCTGCTTCAGAAAGATAAAACTGCAAGCCAGAGATTTGGAAGGAGGATTACAGAAGGGAAACTCAGCATTCCAGACCATTCAAGGGCATAGCACAGCTCCTTGCAGTATGCACACCTTGCTTTCCATCTTTGAAACTGAGGCAAGGCTCTTTAGTACCTGCCTATAACTTCTCTCTCTAAATACTTGTCATTTGGTTCTCCTGGAATTCCCTGGTGAGGGGCAGGGAGTTCTGTTCAGTCTATCACATTCTACTATGAAAGCACTTCCCAAAAAAAGAAACCTTTCAAATGGCATTATCTTTGTACTAAGTTAGTTATGCCCCCTGAATCACAATGGATTGACCCATGGTACCATGTGAATTCTCTTTTCTGGAAAGTCAGAATGAGGTCTAAGAAATGCTAGTCAAATTCTCTTTGAGCTGGGAAGTGGAATGAAACTGGACTGAAGTGGGACTGGAGCAAATTTCATTATATGTATAGAAAAAAATAAGAAAGAGGAGAGATGACTGGGGAGAGAAGAATAGGGAATAAGGGAGGGAAAAAGAGAGACAAAGGAGGAAGATGGAGACTAATAATGCTATAAGAGAAAAAAACTGTGAACCTCACTCATGGTCTGTGTCACATTATGTTATCTATCTGATTTTTACAGATTCTTGTGCTCAGCAGTGGAAGATTTTGTGGCTGATATTGTAAAGGCCTGGAGTCGAATTAAACAGAACAATACAGCAATAGAGTCTGTGATTTTGAAAGTAAGTTTCCATTTCTCTTGCCTTATACTCTTTGTAGAGCCAGGAGCTCTTTTTTTAATGAAGGGAAATGTGTTTCTCACTGGAAATTATAAATGAAAAGCAAGGAGGGGAACAGGGAAGGTCCATCAAGCTTCCATCTTTTGCCAAATGAAGAATGCCATTAAGCATGCAGACACATACCATGTAGCTAAGCATGTGCCAAGCATCTGTCCAAAACCAGACAAAAGTGTGCACCAAGCAGGTATGCATATGAGTCTATATCAAAAGTGTTTGTTTTCAAATACGTACACACATATACACACTAGGAATATGCCAAAATTCACCTCTCTAACAACAAGGACTATCACTTACCTAGTACTTACTCTGCCAGGGACTGTCCTAAGTGCTTTTAATGTGTTAATGTATTTCATCCTCACAAGTGCCCTAGAATATAGAAATACAAAAAAGTTAAGTAACTTGCCTCTTATCACCAACTGTCCAGTGGGAATCAAAGGCAGAAACCATGCAGTAGATGCATTGCCCCATACATACACATATAAAGGCAGACACCATATACCCTTGAGAGGTACATCCACATCCACAGGAGCATACCCACTAAAACACCATTCCAGAAAGGTTTATTTCCTCAAGTGTTCCATGTTAATAAATAATTTTGAAAACCATTCTGAGAAAGACTTAGCAGTATACATTGATGCCTGGTTGGGGCAGAGGTGGGGCTGTTCAGCAACAAATTATCTGTGATTGGATTATTTCACTGCACCTTCTTTTCAGCCTACCACATGAGACTTTCTATGCCCAGTGTTCCTACCCAACCATTATCCCTTTCCACCTCCCCACTACACCACCTCTGCTCCTCATTCTATCTTCTCAAACACTGGCCCTTCATAACAGTGTCTCGTCTCCCTCCTCCCTATATAGAGTGACTTAATGTTTGATAAGCTGAGTGTCCTGATTGATATCCTGTCTGAGGATGCATCAGCTACCTCTGTTAAGAAAGGAACTACAGTATATACAGTCAGTGGAAAGGCAGACGGAAAGCCCTTCATCCCTCAAATGGATCACATAGCCAAATCCAAGTTGGAGTTGGCCACAAAGGCCCAGAATCTCCAGACATCTTTGAAACTCATCATATTCCAGGTTGAACAAGGTAAGGTGCCTAGGGTTGTGGTGAGTGATGTAAGAGAAAGGGAAGTCCCAAGTGAATAGTTTACTGATCTCCCTCACTCTGGGCTTGCTATAGGACTCCACTACCCAAATTCTGCATTCATATTGACCGGATTCTGCATTTAGATCGTATCTAAAGTCAGTTCTCAGATTCTGCTGATTTGAAAAGTGTCAGTTCTGATAAGCTGCCACTTTGACTCCTCCTATCTCTCGGTGTTTAACTCTTGCTACTCACTGATTTTTGGAACAAAAACATTCATACCATATATTTACAAGTGCTAAATGGACTGTGCAAAGCTCTGTCAGCTTCCACCACAAGCCATGGAAGTTTTCCACCCACTACTGTTTCCTCCCAACAAGCAAGCCTGTGACTATTTTAGAAAGAAAGGGGTATTCATCCCTGAGTGTCCTATACAGTATTAATCAGGCACAAGGGCCCTGAGAGTGGCCCTGGTCACTCTGGAGTTGATTGCCATTGCCCCAAACTCATGACAGTCTTCAAGCTTCTGACTCAGTATGAAAATTGTTTCAACTCCCCCAACCCCTTCATTTAACATTTCAGTGACCAGTTCTTCCCCATGGTCTACTTGACAAAATACAAAACAAAACAAAACAAAAAAACAGAAGGTGCTATAAGGCCAAGTGTGCTCTAACTATTTAGAATTGAGCTATTTAGAATTGAGCAGAAGTCCCATGCAGCGAGAAAGTCCCTTTGGCTGCCCTTTGGCTTTTGGCTTTGGCACCATCTCCTGCCTTGGAACCTTTAGATGAAATCTCAGTCAAGTTTTAAAGACAGGAAGGAAATCTCCCTTCTGTACTATGATAGAATTAAACAGTTAGCTTATCTCTATTTCTAGGGTTCATTTCCAAATAGCAGGGATTATATTAACCTGATGTAGCCAAAACTCTGTTACAACTGACCCTTAGTCTTATCCATCAACACATATTATATTTAGAATGTGTGATTATGGACACAGAATAGAGAAATGCCCCCCCAGCCCTGGTTAGGGTAGGAATTTAACCTGTGAGCTTTGGTCCTGGCTGAGCACCTGCACCATATCCTTTGATAAAAGGAAGATTTCTGAAATGTCCTAGGTATGAGTGAGACACTTGAGTGCAAGCAAGAGTACATGGTCATAGTGGCTCAAGTCTGAACAAAAGTCTTATAAACAAATATACTAATAGAATGGAAGTAGAGGAGCACAGGGGTCCCCACCCCCACCAGCATTAGGTGACAGATTAAAGAGTGACCAGGAAAACGGAAAGCTCATCACGGATATGGAAGGACATGGCTATTGTAGGGCATCTGAGACAACAAACAACATTGTGGAGGAGAGGTGATGATTGTGTGACCCGCACACTAACTGGCAGTAACTGAACAAAATAGATATTCAAGAAATGTGACCAATTCTCCCTCTTTCCCTTCTTCCCTCCGTCCCTCCATACCTTTTCCCTATAGCTCTGGATGAAGAAAGCAGACAGACCTTATCAGTCAAGAACTTTACTTCCACTTCAACTTTCCTCCTGGAAGAAGACTCAGAGAGTATTACCCAGACAAGCCCACGGCACCGTAAGGATCTTTCTTTTCTTGTTCTTCTCACCTTCATCACTACTATCTAGTTCCTAAAAAATATATAAATGAATAAAAACAAAAACGTGTTTTTCACGCATTCTTTTAGCCTCAGTCCTATTCAGCAGTAGGGGTAGCCCTCCCTCTCTCCCATGAAGTTTCATGCCAGAGTCCAGAATAATGAGCCCATTAGTCACTTTGAAAAGGCCGGCCTAATGAAATACAAGATTCGAAGCTGTTTTCAGTGCCAGCCAGCAAACAATCCAACCTTACCATTCTCTCAGTGGGAGTCGCTTATCCATCCAGAAGGATCCCTCTTTGAAATGAGAATCCTGAATGTTATCTAGGGGAAAGTTATTTGGCTTGACCTTGCCCCCACAGGTAAAATAGGGGGAAAGGGTATTTTTGTTTGCACCTGACAGCACAGTGATATCTTCTGTGTCTAGGTTCTCGGTGTCATGGTACTTTGTCTTCTATATCGTCTCTCCAAAGTGAGGACCTAGACAACCTTAACTTAGAACACTTACATTTTACACCGGAAACTCTGTAAGTATTTAATCTTATCATCTTTCAACAGCTTCTTCCTCTGTCTGAGAAACTGCACAATCTCAGGGTATCCAGAGTCAAATCTTGACTCTACTTACTAGTTGTATGACCTACACAAGTGTCTTAACCAGTCTGAGCCTCAGTGTCCTCACTTGTAAAATGAAGGTAATTGTAGAACTTACCACATAGGTTTCTTGGCAACTATATGCTGTTATTAACTACTTAGTAAGTGTTAGTTATTAATTCAGAGGACTTGTTTTCCTTGTTGCCCTTACCAGTAAATGACTTCAGATACCAAAGAATAAATGGTCATTAGGAGACAAGGGAGCAAAGCTAAGGATGTCAGTCCTACATCTTTAGAAAATCCCCAGCACTCAAGTTCTGCCACACTCACTCATTTTCTGTTCCATTAAGAAGATCAGTTTGGACATCGGTTAGCAAAACTCCAATTTCTGGACTGTAATTAAGAGAGGCAAATTTCATACAAAAGAACAAACAAAAAGCTTGTCTATGATTAAAATAGCTAAGCTATACCCATTTTCAGTTTCTCAAAACAAGAACACAGCTAGCAATTATTTACATTGCCCTAAATAATTTACTTAGGGAAACAGTTCTTGCACCTACTTGCCAACTCCACTCCCCTTCATGTCCCATCGGCTTAGACTGATGTCTGTGATCTCATGGATCTACCTAATCAGTTTTGATCAAGAGTGTTTTGGCAATTGTTTCACAACCAGCTCTCTTTTAGGGAGAGGGGGTCCCTGACTTATTCCTGGTATAAGCTCTCCTACTATGGCCCATTTCAAGCTATTGATATGATGCCATTGAATGCAAAGCTGGTGAGAGCTATGCCTAATCACTTTCTACAAGCTGATTGAACCATCTCTAGCACACCACTGATTTTGATGATGACATCCTAGATAAAAACAGGAGACTCAAAAAGACCGTATATACACACACACCCTTTTTATCAGTCTTTCCCCCTCAAATATGTGGTCACTGTCCTTTGGTGTGAAATACCACAACGAAGTCATATATTGCCAAGAGCAGTAAAACAGGCTAAACTCTCAGGATACATTTGTGTTTGTAACTTTCAAGAGTTCTTTATGGAATAAGCCCATCCCTCAATTTCCCTTTATTATATGAAGGAGCTTCAAAAATTTGTGAGAAATAGAATGAAAGATAATGTGAATTTTTTTCATGAACTTTTTGAAGATCCCTTGTATGTGGTCCACTCATATCTGAGGCCTCCCAAGATGACTCAGGTCATGAATGTTGCCTTTTTAGTCTGAGTACAATTCCCACTGAAACTTCCCACCTGGCTGAGCACCCTCTCCTATAGCTACCAAGCTCATTGTTAACACTATTGGACATCTGCTTGTACCTGTCACAAGCATTCTGGTTTGTGCCCCATGTGGAGGAGGCGTTGCTTCAGTGTAATGACAATGGTACTTCTTTCTTGAACCAATGATTGTCATCTTCTTTGGCTAATTTCAGACGCTTCAAAGAAAAGTGTGTCATGAACAACTACTTTGGGATTGGACTGGATGCTAAAATTTCTCTGGAGTTCAATACCAGAAGAGATGAACACCCAGGACAATATAAGTAAGGAAAATAAACACCACTCTCTCCATGGTGACACACAATCAGAATACACACATGAAGTAATCAACTATTTTTACTCTCCCAGAATACCTGAAGCAGGCTAACTTTATGAAGAAAAGAGGTTTACTTAGCTCACAGTTCTGGAGATTCACAGGTGTGATGCATCAGCTCAGCTGTCGTGAGGACTTTGTGGCAGAAAGAGATTCAAGGATAAGACTTGCGCTTATAACTTGCTCTGTGACAACAATCTTAATCCCTTCCCTTCTGAGGGCAGCACCTTCAGTGGTCTAAAGACATTCCACTAGACCTCACTTCTTAAAAGTCCACACTATCTCCTAACATCCCCACACTAATGACCAAGCCTCCAACATGTGAATCCTTGGACCCCACACTCAAAGGATTTTTATACCAAAGCAACATATGTATTCCCACATTCCCTACATCTCAGACAAGCAACAAAAAGAGATAATTTGGAAGTGAAATGAATTGGTTCCAAGACTAGTCTAGTGAGATAGCTTCTTCCAGATGTTGATGTTGTCTGGCAACCTTGAACTTGGAGATCCCTTCAGAATCTAGATCTATGGATCACTGTGTAGACACAGTTATTTGTGTAACTATTACAAAGAACAGATTACATTGCTTCAATTCAGCAAACTACCTATATTTGTTCTGTCTGTGTTAGTTTCACCACATCTTAGTAGTGGTTCCAGACCTGTTTTGCTTGGCAATGCAGCTATGTATCATAGATGCCTCTCTTCTGATTCACCATCTTCCTAACCTATTTCCCCGGTACCCATTAACTTTACCCCAGTGTTGGTTCTTTTGACACTTTCTGTTATTTTGTACTGTAAACATACTCAGGGTTTTTGTGGGTAATTGAAAACTGTAAGTTAAAAAAACACATAAAGCATACCACTCTCTATCCCATCTCTGCTACTGCCACTAGAACCTCTTTCTCAGCACAAATATACTATCAGATATGTAATTTGCAAGTAGTTTCTCTCAATCTATTCTGTGTCAGTATCTTTTTTTGGCGTTTGCATTTTTAATTCTTAATCATAATTGCACATATTCATAGCCTTCATTGTGATATTTCAATATAAGTAAACAATGTCTACTGCTCAAAACAGAATGCTGACCATTTCCCCTTCTTTGACATTATTTTAAGATTGGAGACTTGGCACTTCTTTTTTCTATCTGTTCAAACAATATGCACTAGGTTTCTGTGAACTAGTCTTCCCACTATGCTGTGCAACACTTGGAACTTCTTCCTTTGCTCTGACTATGATTTGATACCCATTATCCAGAGTTCCTCCCATCCCTCTCAGCCTCCAAAAATCACCATTCTATGTTCAGATTGAGTTTTTATGTTTTAGCTCCCACATAGAAAGGAGAACATGCAATATTTGTCTTTCTGTGTCAGGCATATTTCACTTTACCTGATGTCCTCCAGTTACATCTATTTTGCTGCAAATAACTGGATTTCATTCTTTTTTTGTGGCTGAATAGTATTCTATTGTGTATATGTGTGTGTGTGTGTGTGTGTGTGTGCGCGCCACATTCTCTTTATCCATGCATCTGATGATGGATGCCTTGGCTGATTCCATATCTTGATATTCGTGATCCATATTGTAGTAAATATGATGGAGCAGGTGTCTCTCTGATACACTGAATTCATGTCTTTTGGATGTATTCCTTATAGTGGTATATGGAAGTAGTATTTCTAGTTTTTAAAGAAATCTCCATACTGTTTTGCATAGTTGCTGTATTAATTTACATTCCCACAAACAGGATATAGAAATTCCCTTTCCTCTCCATCATGGCAAGTATTTCCTATTTTCTCTCTTTTTGATAATAGCCATTCTGACAGGGGTGAGGTGATATCTTGTTGTGGTTTTGATTGGCATTTCCCTGATGACTAGGGATACTGAGCATGTTTTTCATATATTTACAGGCCATTTCCATTTCTTCTTTTGAGAACTGTCTGTTCAAATCCTTTGCCCATTTCTTAAGTAGAATGGTTGTTTTGTTGTTGCTGTTGAGTTCTTTTGAGTTCCTGGGATATTCTGGATATTAATCTTTTGTCAGAGAAGCAGTTGTAAAATATTTTCTCCCATTCTGGCAGATGCCTCTTCAGTCTATTGATTGTTTCCTTTGCCATGCAGAAGCTTTGGGTTTGATATAATCCCATTTGTCTAGTTATGCTTTCATTGCCTGTGCCTTTGATGTCTTATCCAAAACAAAACAAAACAAAACAAAACAAAAAAAACCATTGCCTACACAAATGTCTTGAAATGTTTCCCTTATGTTTTCTTCTAGTAATTTCATAGTTTCAAGTCTTACTTTCAGGTCTTGGATCCATCTTGATTGAGTTTTGTATACAGCGATAGGCAAGAATCTATCTTCATTGTTCTACATATGTATATGAAGTTTGCCAGCACTTTTTATTGAAAAGACTATTCTTTCTCCAATGAGTGTTCTTGACACCTTCCACAAAAAATCAATTTGTTTGCGGTTAGCATTGTGGTATAGCAGGTTAAGACTCCACCTGCAATGCTAGCATCCCATACAGGCACTGGTTCATGTCTTGGCTGCTCCACTTCCAATCTAGGTCCTTGCTAATACACCTGGGAATTAGCAGAAGATGGCCCAAGTGCTTGGGCCCCCACACCCACATAAAAGACCCAGAAGAAGCTCTGTACTGTTGGTTTCAGCCTGGCACAGCCCCAGCTGCTGTGGTTATTTGGGGGGTGAACCAGCAGATGAGAGATCTCTCCTCTCCTCTCCTCTCCTCTCCTCCCTTCTCTTCTTCCTCCTTCTCTTCTCTCTGTAATTCTTTCAAATATATAAAAATATAAATTAAAAAAGAGGGCTGAGAGAGTGTTCTGTTTTAAGGACACTACATGTGCAAAGGCCCTGTGGCAGAAGACAGCTTAGCCTGCATGAATGAAAACAAACCAATTAGTTGTATGAACATGGGACTATTTCTAGATTCTCTATTCTGCTTCATTGATCTGTGTGTCAGTTTTATGCCACTACCATGCTATTTCACTTACGACAGCTTTGTAGTATTCTTTGAAATCAGGTATTGTGAAACTACCAGCTTCCTCTCCTCTCCTCTCCTCTCCTCTCCTCTCCTCTCCTCTCCTCTCCTCTCCTCTCCTCTCCTCTCCTCTTCTTTCCCTCTTTTCTTTCTTTCTCTCATTCTTTCCCTTTGTGTTCTCTTCCGGATAGCTTTGACTATTCTGGATGTTTTGTGGTTCCATATGAATTATAGGATTGGTTTCTTCTAAATTTCTAAATAATTTCATAGGTATTTTGATACAGATTGCAAGGAATCTGTAGATCGCTTTTGGTAGTGTGGATATTTTAACATTATTAATTCTGCCAATCAATGAGCAAGGATTATTTTTCCTTTTTGTTTGTTCTTGATTATTTCTTCCACAAGTATTTTTATCATTTTCATTGTAGAGTCCTTTAACTTCTTTGGTTAAAGTTATTCCTAAATATTTAAATTTTGTAGCTATTATGAGTGAGATATCTTTCTTGGTTTTTCTTTTAGCTAGACCATTTTGTATGTTGATTTTGATTCCTGCTATTTTATTGAATTGGTTTATCAGATCTAACAGGCTTTGGTGAGATATTTAGTTATTTCCACTAACAAACCCTTTTCCCACAATGCTGGCCCCTTAACTCTTCTAGCTAATAATTCCAATTCTATATTGAATAAAAGTGGTAAAATTAGACATCCTTGCCTTGTTACAAATCAGATGGGAAATGCTTTCCCTATTCAATATCATATTGGCTGTGAATTTGTCATTATATATTATATATATATATTTTATAATTTTGAGATATGTTTCTTGTATACCTGATTTTCTGAGTTTTTATCATGAAGGGATGTTGAATCTAAGATGCTTTTTCTAGCATCTATTGAGATGATCATATGGTTTCTGTTTTCATTAGGTTGATGTGGTTTATGATATTTATTGATTTGCCAATGTTGAACTATCCTTGCCTCTCTGAAATTAATTCTACTCGATCATGATGTGTGATCTTTTTGATGCAGTGCTGGATTATATTTGCTAATGTTTTGGTGAGAATTTTTTCATCTATGTTCATCAAGCTCCTTACTCTGTAATTTTCTTTTTATGTTGTGTCTTTGCTTGGTTTTAGTATCAGAGTAATGTTGGCCTCAGAAAGTTTACCAGAGTTCCATTCTTCTCAACATTTAGAATAGTTTGAGAAGGACTAGAGTTAGTTCCTCTTTAAATGTTTCATAGAATTCAGATGCAAAACCATCAGGCCTTTAATTTTCTTCGATGGAATATTTTTAATGACTACAGGATGCAGAAGGGACTGTCCCCAGTTCCCACAGGGTATGTGAGTATGATGCTGGGGCTTGTGCCCTGGCCAGCCAGCACCCTGTGCTAAGAGATGCAGAAAGGAAATTCCTCAGTTCTGGTCTTCTGGAGTTTTCACATGGGCTGTTCCTGCCAAAGAAGCAGCCCCAAGAAGCAGAGAGGAACTACCCTAGATTGCTCAGAGTGAGCATGGCTCTGCAATTTGTGCACAGTAGCCCTGCAGGCTGCAGAAGGGTCTGCTCTCTGCCCTGTGAAGCCTCCTGGCTCTGGGTGCACCAGAATGCTGGTGCCTTCCCACCTTCTTACGTTTCAAAAGTCATTCCCTGTGGTGGCTCATTTCTATGGCTCTGCTTTAAACGCTCATAGTAAATCACATCCAAGCTTTGTGTAATCTCTCTGCCTGCTTTTCTTTCTTTCATTTTTCTTAAAATCAGAGACAACAGCCAGCAGGACCCTGGCCATGCCGCTCCCATCCCAAGTCTCCTGATAGCTTTGCTTGTCTCATATTTTCTCCATGGTCTTATCCTCTAAAATCTCTCTACTAAGTTTAGTTCTGTTCTATGGCAGTGAATTAAGTGTGTAGTGTACAGGTCTAGTGTTTGAAACAGTCTTCCACTTTGCCAGAAAAGTCATTGTTGCAAAGAAACTGCAGTCTAAGAGTCATATTTTAAATGAAATTGATTCCAAGTAGCTGAATTCTTGTGCTCCTGGAGTAGCACTGCCAGGGGAACTGTCATGTCACAGCTTTTTGTGAGCATTACTTTCTGAATACGGGCAGCTTCGTCCAAGTCTGGACCAACATAACAACCAAAAGTGGAAATTTTATTTATTGATAGAATGCTAAGACATCAAAGGGGCCCATGAATCCATTTCTGCAAGAGTTTAAATGGGCATATCAGTTACACTAACCCAGCAGGCACAACTGTGTAAAAAGGTTTCCTTTCCGGTCTTTCCACATCCATTTATCTTTATATTATTCACCCTCTCGCTGTCTTTGTCTGTAGTAGCCGCCTTAAGAACAAAATATGGTACGGCCTTCTGGGAAGCAAGGAACTTCTGCAGCGCTCTTACAGGAACCTGGAAGAACGAGTGCGCTTGGAGGTTAGTGGAAGAAGGGTGGTCCTTCCTAGTCATGGAGAAAGAAAATCTCATGCCATCAGAAGTCAAGTCACCCTCTATCCTTGGTTCTTCCCAAGCTTGAACTCTGTGATCCTCACAGTCATGGGAAGAAGGCAGGCAGATAGATTTCCATCTTATAGATAAACAAATGATACCATTGGGGTGGACATTTAGCCTACTGGCTAATATGTCTCTATTCCATGGCAGAGTACCAGGGTTTGATATCCAGCTCTGGTTCCTGACTCCAACTAATTTAGTTCCTGGCTCTGGCTCAGCACCAGTCATTGCAGGCATCTGGGCAGTAATCCGGCAGATAGAAAATCTCCATCTCTATATTTCTGCCTCTCAAATAATTTTTTAAATCTTTTTAAAAAGAAATAAAAGGAAGAGAAGACAGAGCCCTTTCCCATCTCTGTAAACAAGAATAGTGTCTGCAAATACTAGCTGATAGAATCAAAAAGGGAGAGAATGATCCAACATGGGAAGTGAGATACACAGCAGACCCATAGAATATAAAAAAATGTCCTAACAGCACTCTGGCCTCATAATCAGCCTTTAACAA